CGGGGGCTCGGGGCGTCCGGGCGCGGCGCCCAGCGCAGCGACCCTGCCCAGGCGGCGACCCTGCAGCTCGGCTCCGGCACCGGCTTCACCCGCCGCTCTGCCCGCGACGACTTCCTGGAGAGCGTGCGACGTCACGACCAGGGGCGGGTCCGACGTACGACGCGTGCGTGCATGCGTGCGCGCACACTGGAGCGCGTGTGAACACCTGCGCGCTCGTGGTGCCGGGAGACGCTGCTTCTGCGATGCACGCTGGTACCGTCCTGGAACCGAACCCGTGGGCTGCACGCGAAGAACCGTACCGACGCCCGTGTGTCCTGGGAGCACGGCGCCGTGGAGCCGCGAGTCCCGCCACGCAGAGCGGGCCGTGTTCCCAACCCGTTACGCTCGGGAACCACGCGTCCGGGCATGCAATACGGGTGGCTTCTCTCGGTTCCCGTCGCGCTTTGAGTGTCTCGATGTCACGAAACTACAAGTCCCGGCATGCCTTGCGCGCCCCAGGGGCGGAGCCAGAGGGCTCCCGGCGTCCCGGTAGCCCGCCCACCCAAGCCTGTCCGGCCACGCCGCTTCGATTTCGGGCGCCGGAGATCGTCTTTTCCTCGGACCCACCCCGGTCCCCGACTCCGCAGCGCCCTCGAGCCTGAGCCACGGCTTGGAGGCCGTCGGGGAGCTCACCGTCCCAGTGTCGCTGTGGGTCGCGATTACAGGAACGCGTGTTCCTCCTAAGAGAGGAAAATCGCTTAGGAGCCTGGGAAGAAAGGCGCTCCATCGTGTCAGCCTGAAGTAACGGGACTCCATAGATGGGAAGAGGTGAGGGTGGCACGAAGTGAGGGTGGGAAGAGGTGAGGGTCGGATGAGGTGATGGTGGGAAGAGGTGAGGGTGTGGTGAGGTGATGGCAGGATGAGGTGAAGGATAGGGTGATGGGATGAGTTGAGGGAGGGATGAGGTGGAGGATGAAATGAAGCTGGGGGAGGTGATGGTGGGATGAGGTGAGGGAGGCGTGAGGTAAAGGATGAGGTGAGGATGGGATGAGCTTAAGGCGTGTTGAGATGAGAGTGGCATGAAGTGAAGCATGAGGTGGAGGTGGGATAAGGGGAAGAATGTGGTGAGGGTGGGAGGAAGTGAAAATGGGATGAGGTGGAGGTGGGATGAGGTGAAGTATGAAGTTAGTGTGGGATGAGGATGAGGTAGAATGAAGTGTAGAATTAGGTGAAGGTGGGATGAGACGGGGGGGGGAGAAGTGAAGAATGAGATGATGGTGAGCTGAGGTGGGGGGAGGATGAGGTGGAGGATGAGGTGAAGGTGGGATGAGATGGTAGGAAGAGATGAAGGTGAGATGAGGTGAGGATGGGATGCAGTGCTGTAGGATGAGGAGTAGGATGAGAAGTGGGATGAGGTTTAGGATTCGATGAAGGTAAGATGAGGGGTAGGTGGGAAGCCCAGGTAAGGCGTTCGTGGCCCTGATGCGTAGATGGTCCTGTCAGCAGCAAAAGTGGGCTATTGAAGAAGAGGCAGTTCCAGTGTGTCAAGCATTTATATTAAAATAGCATCCCCTGCTAATCGACTGTACATTGTTCTTTGTTCACACATTCAGCATTAGGAAGATGACAGGGAGGCTCTGGTCAGGAATGCCTTCTCCCTGTGGCCGGGCGTGGAGTCTCTCTGGGCTTGATAAGTCTGGAGTTTTCACACAGCTCAGACCCTCTGAGCTAGTTTTCTTTTCAATCTCAGTGTCGGCAGTATACTCTCTTTTTGTGCCTATCTATCCTTGCATATGCACATTTTATATGCAGTCGAATTATTCTGATTTGCTTTTCTCTTCACATATAGCATATGTGGTGGCTTTTCTCGTATTACTAAATGTTTTGGAAACCGCCAATCTAAAGGGAAGAAGCTGAGGCAAAGTCAACAGGAGTTCCATTTGAACCAAGCTTGAGAATTGCAACCCATAAGCACAGATTCAGGTTGCCCTGAATATTTTTGACAAAAATACCAAACTCTAAAATACTTTAAAAGGTTTATTCTGAGATAAATGTGAGTGACCTAGGCTTGTGGCACCATCCCAAGAGGGCCTGAGAACATGTACCCCAAATGGTTAAATTGCAGCTTGGCTTTATACTTTTATGAAGACAGAAGTTACAGGCAAAACTTAAATCAATATGTGTGAGATTTACATTGATTGGGCCTAGAAAGTGGGGCATCTTTATGCGGGGGTTTGCAAGTCATACATAGGTGGGTTCAACAATTTTATGATTGATGAGTGAAAGAGTTCAGCTCTGTCTGAAGAATTTGAAATCAATAAAAGAAACTCTTGAGTTAAAATAAGGGAAATGTGGAAGCCTCTATGTAGTAGACTTCAGAGACAATTGGGGGTAAATGTCTTAAAAGGTGTCAAACTGACCAGGCACGGTGGCTCAAGCTTGTAATCGCAGCACTCTAGGAGGCGGAAGTGAGAGGATTACTTGAGCCCACAGATTCGAGAACAGCCTGGGCAACTTGGCGAGACCTCATCTCTACAGTAAATAAAAAAATTAGCTGGGCATGGTAGAGCATGCCTGTAGTTCCAGCTACTTGGAAGACTGAGGTGAAAGGATTGCCTGAACCCAGCAGGTCAACGCTGGGGTGGCGGTGAACGTGCCACTATACTTTAGCCTGGGCAGCAGAGTGAGACTCCACAAAAAAAAAAGTGTCAAACTTTTCTTAGGGAAGGAGATTTTCTACAGATGTAAATGTCTCCAAGAGACAGCTTTGTAGGGTCACTTCAAAATATGTCAGAGAAACATATTTGGAGGTAAAGTATTTTTATTTATCTTAAAGCCTACTATCATGTCATGCTATACCAGATTCCGGTTAGAATCTGGTATCTTATTGCCACAGTGTCTCGTGATCTCTATTTTAATGTTAATGCTGATCAGTTGTGCCTAAACTCCACAATGCAGGGAGTGTAATAAGGTGTGTCCATTATCCTTTCCTGTCATAGCCTGGAATTTAGTTTCAGGTTTCCCTTGGCCCGAGGGGTTTCAGTTGGTTTGGAGGCTTAACATTTTATTATTGGTTTACAACATGTATCCTGATTAGCAACAGTTACAGATTGATTTTTTTTTTTTTGAGTTGGAGTCTCACTTTGTCGCTCCGGCTGGAGTGCGGTGGCACACTCACGGCTACTGCAGCCTTGACCTGCTGGGCTTAGGCAATCCTTCCACCTCAGCTTTCCAAGTATCTGGAACTACAGGCACGCACTATCACATTCGGCTTATTTTTTAATTTATTGTGGAGACGAAGTCTCACCAAGTTGCACAGGCTGGTCTTGAACCCCCAGGCTTAGGCAGTCCTCTCGCCTCGGCATCCCAAAGTGCTAGGATTACAGGCTGAGCCACCATGCCCAGCCAGTTTGATTTTTAAAGTCAAAAACTGTAAGCAGACCAAAGTCCCACTGCTCATTGCCCAAAAGAGCACTTGAGAGATGAGAGTTGGTAGAAGGAAAAATAGGTTTGATTCAAGAGCTAGAAGCCTGAGGAGTTGACAGACCAATGTCACATAGAGACCACCTAAAGTTCAGACTGGCCTGAAGGATGCTTTAGGGAAACTTGGTGTGGGAAACATAGAGTCGTAGCACAGGGCTGTACATCTTGTTCTGGGAACTTATCTAGAGTGCTGGTCCTCCTAGAGGCCTGGTTGGTGTTATCTGCAGTCAGGTTATGGATTAGCCCTCTTGAAACTTCTCCCAAGCAGAAGGGTCCCGCAGTTAGGACTCCATTCCTGGTCTGTTTCAAGATTAACCTGGAATTCTTAAGCAAGCATATGGAATTCTTAAGCAAACATATGACCAGATAAGCATGTATTGCAGAGGATAGGGAGGAAGAAACAAAGTGAAAGGAAAAAAAAGTTAAAAAAAAAAAAAGGTAGGTGATAAAAACTATTTCAAAGCAGAATTCTTGGTTACAAAAGGTGTCCAGGAGTGAGCTGATACGAAGTTTTTTGTCAGGAATTCTGATTGGTTACAGAAATAACATTGACTAGTAATTGACTATACACTATTAAGCTATAGGGGTAGATTACAGTGTCTAATGTGGCATTATTAGGTTAATTTATAACTACTTGTGACAGTAAGAGCTCAAGGGTGGAAGTGATTATCTTATTTTAAGGCCTTCTGGGCCTGATAATTTGAAATCACTTGCATTCCTTGGATAAAAGTTCTTTTCTCAAGACCATTTTAAGTTTGTAATCATAACAGTAGCAGAATGGGCATATTATCACTTACCCATTGCCACCTTTTGCTATTTGTGTATTTTCCTGTAACTGTAGGTTTTTGTCTATCCCTGCTGCTTTCTCCAGTCCCTACCCCTATGATTACGGGTGAACATGTGGCACTCACCAGGGAATTTATATGGAATTTATAAAAAATGGAAATTGTGGGGAAATTGTGCCAGCAGTGACATAGTTTTTTTAATTTCTCAGAATCCCATATAAACAGAGCAACCAGATAATAAAACTACATGCACAGACAATATTTACAGTGCAACTACATAACAAGGAATTCCCATGAATCCCCAATACCAACTGCAAGGACAAGCTATGGTTAAATCAAGTTTAGCCTAAAGCTGCCTTCTGACATATTTTGAGTTTGGCTTAAAGGTTTTTCCATACATAGTGAACTGTCACCTAAATGGATGTATAGTAAACAGACTGTCACTCTTTTTACCAGTCACCAAGCTTCAGCCATCAAAGGGAACCAATTCTTCAAACCTTGTTCAAATAAAGCAAATGCTGAGCTGTTACCAGTTCAGCTATTTCTCTATCCTGGTCTGGGGCTGCCTGATTCTCAAATCCTTCTTTACTCAGTGAAACCCTTTAATTTGTCAAGTTTTTCTTTTAACACTACCAACAGCCCTTGGTAATGTCAGGATCTGTAAGAGGGAAAATAGGGGGCAGAAGTCTTCACA